GTTGTGTATTCTACCTTAGGACTTCACGTTTCGTTTCCGTTGTTGTTTTGTCGTGTGTTTGTTAAGTTCAATAAACATGTACGCATATCACGCTGCGCCTTGGTCTGACCCGTCATTCAACAAACGTGACAGAAGATCCCACCAAACGAGGACCAAGCAGCGTGCCCAGGCGGAGCGAATAGCCATGTCACAGGTGGGCAAATTGTGGTCATGGGAAGAGATATTTGCGGGGAGAGGACCATGGGCTAAGGTAGATGCCCAGGCAGGAGAGGTGCAACGGCAACACGGAGGAGGCCGGTCGAGGAGGAAGCCCGAGAAGCAGCCCCAAGAACATTTTTTTGGGGGGCACACGGGGTGGTTGGCGGAGGCTAGTGTCAGAGCAGAGCCAACTCCCCGTACTCACGCGAGGAAGCGTGTGACTGGGCAGGCTCCGTGTAATGCGGAGCTACGTACTGTGTCGCCAGTGCGTCGGCACAGTCCTGTACGTCCTGTGCTTGCACCACGCACGTGCCGTGCGAAGATGGGCATCCAGCCAGAACGGGATGTGCCGGCTCAACGCTCCTGGTCTCCAGTACGCCTCCTCGGTCCCCCATATCCTGCGCCAGTTCTACGTACTGTATCGCCAGTGCGCGTGCACAGCCCAGTGCGTCCTGTGCTGATGCCTCACACAGACTGTGCGGAAGTAGGCATTCAGCCAGGACGGGTTGTGCCAGCTCTCCGCTCCAGACCTCCAGTCCACCTCCACAGTCCGGCCCGGCCTGTTCCTGCTCCTCGCACCAAGCCAGTGGTGCGCGTCGCCAGCCCGGCCCGGCCTGTTCCTGCTCCTCGCACCAAGCCAGTGGTGCGCGTCGCCAGCCCGGCCCGGCCTGTTACTGCTCCTCGCACCAAGCCAGTGGTGCGCGTCGCCAGCCCGGTCCGGCCTGTTCCTGCTCCTCGCACCAAGCTAGTGGTGCGCGTCGCCAGTCCGGCCCGGCCCGTTCCTGTCCCTCGCACCAAGTCAGTGGTGCGTGTTCCTAGTCCGGTCCGGCCCGTGCCTGCTCCTCGCACCAGACCAGTGGTGCGTTTGTCCAGTCCGGCATGGCCCGTGCCCGTTCCAATGGTGCCTGGTCCAGCTCCGGTCAGCTGCTCCACTCCGGAGCCAGAGCAGTCCGCTACACCGGTGCCTGATCCAGCTCCGGTCAGCTGCGCCACTCCGGAGCCAGAGCAGTCCGCTCCACCGGGGTCCAGTCCACCTCCGGTCAGCGGCTCCACTCCGGAGCCAGAGTAGTCCGCTCCACCGGTGCCTGATCCAGCTTCGGTCAGCGGCTCCATTCCGGAGCCAGAGCAGTCCGCTCCACCGGTGCCCAGTCCAGCTCCGGTCAGCGGCTCCAGTCCAGACCATGACGTCAGCCCCTCTCCAGGTTCGGGGTCTCCCACACCAGGGTCCAGACAGGGCCTGGCGTATCGTGGGAGGAAGGAGAGGGGAAGCAGCGCGCCGAGGTCCAGACCAGACCAGGGTCGCAACAGGGAGGCGGAGAGTGAGAGGTCATCACGCCCCGAGCCGGATCCGCCTCCGAGGCGGAATGCCCACCCGGCCCCTACCCTGTTATGTTTATGTTGTGCGGTCGGAGTTCGCACCTTTGGGGGGGGGGGGGGGGGGGGGGGGGGGGTACTGTCACGCCCTGACTCAGGGGACGCTTATTTGTTGAGTCAGGGTGTGTATATTTCTTGTTGTGCTTTTTCTATGTGGCTTGTCTAGTATGTTTAGTTCTATGTTGGCCGGTGTGGTTCCCAATCAGAGGCAGCTGTCGCTCGTTGTCTCTGATTGGTGACCATACTTAGGCAGCCTATTGGCACTGTCTAGTTGTGGGATCTTGTTCCTGGTAAGGTTAGTTGTGTATTCTACCTTAGGACTTCACGTTTCGTTTCCGTTGTTGTTTTGTCGTGTGTTTGTTAAGTTCAATAAACATGTACGCATATCACGCTGCGCCTTGGTCTGACCCGTCATTCAACGAACGTGACAGATTAGGAGCACACTCTTAAAGGGTGCTCCTAATCTCAGTTTGTTACCTGTATAAAAAACACCTGTCCACAGAAGCAATCAATCAATCAGATTCCAAACTCTCCACCATGGCCAAGACCAAAGAGCTCTCCAAGGATGTCAGGGACAAGATTGTAGACCTACACAAGGCTGGAATGGGCTACAAGACCATCGCCAAGCAGCTTGGTGAGAAGGTGACAACAGTTGGTGCGATTATTCGCAAATGGAAGAAACACAAAACTCAACTCGCCGTGTTTGGAGGAGGAGGAATGCTGCCTATGACCCCAAGAACACCATCCCCACCGTCAAACATGGAGGTGGAAACATTATGCTTTAGGGGTGTTTTTCTGCTAAGGGGACAGGACAACTTCACCGCATCAAAGGGACGATGGACGGGGCCATGCACCATCAAATCTTGGGTGAGAACCTCCTTCCCTCAGCCAGGGCATTGAAAATGGGTTGTGGATGGGTATTCCAGCATGACAATGACCCAAAACACACGGCCAAGGCAACAAAGGAGTGGCTCAAGAAGAAGCACATTAAGGTCCTGGAGTGGCCTAGCCAGTCTCCAGACCTTAATCCCATAGAAAATCTGTGGAGGGAGCTGAAGGTTCGAGTTGCCAAACGTCAGCCTCGAAACCTTAATGACTTGGAGAAGATCTGCAAAGAGGAGTGGGACAAAATCCCTCCTGAGATGTGTGCAAACCTGGTGGCCAACTACAAGAAACGTCTGACCTCTGTGATTGCCAACAAGGGTTTTGCCACCAAGTACTAAGTCATGTTTTGCAGAGGGGTCAAATACTTATTTCCCTCATTAAAATTCAAATCAATTTATAACGTTTTTTACATGCGTTTTTCTGGATTTTTGTGTTGTTATTCTGTCTCTCACTGTTCAAATAAACCTACCATTAAAATTATAGACTGATATTTCCTTTGTCAGTGGGCAAATGTACAAAATCAACAGGGGATCAAATACTTTTTTCCCTCACTGTAGGTGATTCACAAATAATTGATATGGAAACATCATTCAGGGTCAAAGGTCTTTACTTCTTATGCTTTTCCAAATGTGGCATATGAATGCAATGTGAATGCTGCATCTACTGTCCATAGGCTTCAATTAAGCCTTAACAGTTACATTTTGTCTAAAGTGGGACCAACAGTTGTTGAGAGAACATAGTTAGCCTGAACCCGTTTTCTAGGTTAAACAGTAGGGTAGTATTTTATGTAATTACATCTGGAATGGATGGTTATACAAGACAGTATGTTCAGAGTTCATAGATGTTGTCAGTCCCAAAAACAATACAGTTCTCCAAATATTCAGACAAACCAGTTTTTTCTAGATAGCATCTCATGCATTGTAGATAGCATCTTCTGCATTCTCGCCATGAGCTGTGCGCTATGCTAACACACGCACACGGTTGTCACGCACACACACGTGCACATCAGGTATATTTCAGTGCCAAAACCAGATCATACTGTAGGTCCTCAACAACAAAGTTTTAGGAGAGTTAATTAATCTTGAGTAGCACGATCACTAACATCAAAATAATTACATTTTCCTGCGATTCACCATTAAGTAGAGGAAAAAATCAGTAGGGAAAATCAGATCAATGTCAGGTTGATTAATCTGACTGGATCACTGGGTCGAGATTGTTTATATTAATACAATTAAACATTAAAATGCTCATTCAAATTAAAGTATTGATCTGGATCTTATTCTGGCAATAAAATAACAAGAAATGTTGAAACAGGGAATCTTAGGTTGGCATCTAATTTAACCACACATTTTATTCTGAAAACTGGAAACATTTTTGTCTGATTGGCGACTATCTGGTAGTAAGAGTAGTCTTATTCCACTTATAAGGATGATATTTATTCCACTTATAAGGATTATATTTATTCCACTTTTACTGATGTGTGATGGGATGAATGCATGAAGTACGACAGCCATTGGCTTTGAGGGGCCAATGTTTTGGGCAACCATAGTCCTGAAGAAGACCCATAGTGGGGCCAAACATGGTATTGATCATCCTTAATATTCAAACATTGTATTGATCATCCTAATATTCAAACATTGTATTGATCATCCTAATATTCAAACATTGTATTGATCATCCTAATATTCACTTGGCAGCATACTGCGGTCTCCAAGCCCCTGGCAAATATCATTTGAATGAATGTGTCATGCCATTAGAACAATGGTACAAATGTGTATGCTGAATATTCATTCATGAACTCAATAACAACATTTATAATAATAAGCTTACAATGACAATGTGTCTCTCTTTTCTTTTGAGATTTAAGGATCCTAGTTGATGACAATTTCAAATTAGCACTTGGATACGTTTCAAAGGTTATGAAAGTTGCTTGTCACACCCATAGAAGCAGAAATATGCCAACCAGATGACTTTGAGGTGTGACTGTCCTAGGAACTTAAAATGTGCAAAAGTTAATTCACTTGTCACATAAATCTGCACTTGAGTGACTGTGACTGCCTGCATAGAGTGATTCACTGATCTCATGGTCTGAATAGTTGGTCAATGCTATGCCACATACTGTAAGATGTGAAAATGTGATGCGATAGAAAATGTAAAATATTTTCACCATTAAAAAAATATATGCTTTTGAAAACCACTAAGAGGAAAACATTATTCAGACAATAATGGAGTTATTATCTTCAAATAATTTATTGAGCAAAGGTTTATAAGATGTATTAGACATGAGTCTAATCGAAGGCAGGATAAATAATCATCAAATTACCTAGTTTTGTAAATACTGTATATGAAATATGCCATCAGTGACTTGAAGTGTCATTATTGATGAATTGTATAATGTGTCATGACGCACCTCCCCTAGGTGAGTGGAATGTCAATAGGCTCCTGCACTTGAGGTAACTTGACACCTGACACCTGATGATGATGCCGTCCTGCATAGCGATATAAAATCTCCCAGCTCCCAAAATAATGATACAATTCCTCTGACAATTAGTAAGGGTGGTATTATTGAGAGAATAGCTTGTGGATTGTCTAAACGGCACATACTGGATTCTCTGAAGGTAAGTAGCCCACATCTGTACACATTACGTCTGTATTCATAAATGTTTGTAGACTACAACATTTTGTATAACATGCTTTTTAAAAATGTTTTTCCACAGCTTAAATGTTTGTTGTTGTTGGCAAAACCCCTCTTATTGTGATTAATTCGTTTTAAATATTTAACTTAGTTCCACTAGGTATAAAAACCAATATGCACCTTTTGGTATGTAGCTTAATACTACATTTGCCAATATTTGCTCCAAGCCCCTGGCAAATATCATTTGAATGAATGTGTCATGCCATTAGAACAATGGTACAAATGTATATGCTGAATATTCATTCATGAACAAAATAACAACATTTATAATAATAAGCTTACAATGACAATGTGTCTCTCTTTTCTTTTGAGATTTAAGGATCCTAGTTGATGACAATTTCAGATTAGCACTTGGATCCGTTTCAAAGGTTATGAAAGTTGCTTGTCACACCCATAGAAGCAGAAATATTATGCCAACCAGATGACTTTGAATTGTGACAGTGCACATGTCCTAGGAACTTAAAACATGCAAAAGTTAATTCACTTGTCACATAAATCTGCACTTGAGTGACTGTGACTGCCTGCATAGAGTGATTCACTGATCTCATGGTCTGAATAGTTGGTCAATGCTATGCCACATATTGTAAGATGTGAAAATGTGATGCGATAGAAAATGTAAAATATATTTTGAAAACCACCAAAAGGAAAACATTAGTCAGACACTAATGGCGTTATTATCTTTAAATAATTTATTGAGCAAATGTTTATAAGATGTATTAGACATTCGTCTAATCGAAGGCAGGATAAATCATTATCAAATTACCTAGTTTTGTAAATACTGTATATGAAATATGCCATCAGTGACTTGAAGTGTCATTATTGATGAATTGTATTGAAGTGTCATTCTTGATGAATTGTAAGTCGCTCTGGATAAGAGCGTCTGCTAAATGACAAAAACATTAAAAAAATATATTTATATAATGTGTCATGACGCGTCCATTGGACAAAATCATGTTCGTCTAGTTAAAAGCAGCATAAACATGTATTACAACATGTATACATAAATGAAGGCAACCTCAACTCGCCCTAGCATAGCATTCAACAGATTGTTTAGGACAGAAATCATTATTAACTTTTCAAAATGTACATTAACTCATTAATTTAGGGTCCGCAAATATTCTCATATTTACTATATTGAAATTACGGTTTTAAATCGCTTTCTCTGAATTCCAGGAACGCAGTGTCTGAATTCATTCACCATGGGGAGAGAGGATGGGGGCATACCAGACTCTCTACCAACCATCCCTGAGGGTAACGTCTGTTTCACATAATTTACTGTCTTATTTATTAGCATAGGATTCCTAGTTAAGAGTAGATTAGAAGGAGTTGTGGTTGACTGATACAATCAGTAGGTTAAATAAAATAATTCTGTACAGTCAGTACACCAAAGTGAGAGGTATCTTTCAACCTGGTCTCAGAGCATTTCGTATTATTCTCTATGTAAATCATAAAATTCAATTTAGTATGATATCAAATAAAATCAAATCAAATCAAATGTTATTGGTCACATACACATGTTTAGCAGATGTTATTGCGGGTGTATCGAAATGCTTGTGTTTCTAGCTCCAACAGTGCAGTAATATCTAACAAGTAATATCTAACAATTTCACAACAGTACACACAATACACACAAATCTAAAGTAAAGGAATTAAGAATATATAAATAAATATTTGGATGAGCAATGTCGGAGCGGCATAGACTAAAATACAATAGAATATGTTACGTTTTTTTATGGTATGTATTAATTTGTGGATGTCCATCACCCATTTTGTATATGACATGTTACGAATTACTATTCGTATTATATGTTACGAATTTGCTAAATGTACAATATGTTCTGAATTTGCAAAAAGTAGGATATGTAATGAATTCTAGCTAGGTGGCTAGGTGGCTAAGGTTAGCTAGCTTGCTAACGTTAGCTAGGCTAGGGGTAAGGTTTATGGGTTAGGGTTAAGGTTAGGGTTAAGTTAGGAGTTAGGTTAAAGGGTTAAGGTTAGGGTTAGGGTTATGGGAAGGGTAACTAAAAGGGTTAAGGTTAGGGTTAGGGGAAGGGTTAGTTAAAAGGGTTAAGGTTAGGGGAAGGGTTAGCTAACATACTAATTTGAGTGTCCCGAATTTACATTTACTATGTTATGTCTAATCTATGAGACCAAGCTGCCTCATTGGACAGCAGGTAGCCTAGCGGTTGAGAGCATTGGACCAATAACCGAAAGGTCGGTGGTTTGAATCCTGGAGCTGACTGGGTGAAAAATCTGTTTATGTGTCCTTCAGCAAGGCCCTTAACCCTAATTGTCACTGTAAATCGCGCAGGATAAAGAGTGTCTGTTTAAATGATGTAAATGTTCAATTTATCATTGGTAAATGTTTAATTGATTCAGAGGTATTTGAAAAAGGTTACCCCAAGCTGGCCATCGATGAGGATAAGAAGCCTCAGGAGCGGATGACAGAGGGGCTGCCAACTGTTGACACAGAGCGCAAGCCAAAGAAGGGCCTGGGGTAAGCAACATTGCCATAATGGTATTCCTACATTATTCCTGTCACAGTGTGCTAGTACTGTTAAATATATTTTGTTTGCTCATTAATCTATGTTTCATTTTCAAGAAGGAAGAAAAAAGAACCTGCAAAAGCAGTTGGATTTTTCCAGTTGGTATGTCGTGACTTTGGTTTCAGATATAGTAGGAAATACACAACAATCTTTTGGCAATCTGCACATACACTATAGTACATATAGTATATGTCAAAATGTGATAATTTGTTACAAGTGATCATGACAAGATTCATATTCTCCAGTCATTCCAATGTCGGCTGCATATGACAGTGGTTTTCTGTGTGTTGTGGTTGTAGTTCCGCTACGCCACGGGTTGTGAGGTGCTCCTAATGATAATCGGCCTGCTATGTGCTGCCCTCCACGGGATAGCGCTGCCCCTTATGTGTGTCGTGTTTGGACAGATGACCGACAGCTTTGTACAAAGTGGACAGCGGCTCAACGTTACAGGTACAAATTCTGTTTGACAAGGTACATATGTAGGATCTTAATTTGATCACTCTGTTACAGGACATTTAAAACTTCAAATCAAAACACATTTTATTCATCACATGCTTCGTAAAAAACAGGTGTAAACTAAGGGCTCTATTTTAACAAACCTAATGCAATGGTACATCTAAGTGCTGGAGGTAGGGCTTTAGGTTGGGGGTTTTGTCAGAAATATATTTTCTATTTTCACAACCCAAAATTATCCGTGCAGTGCTGAAGGTGGCGAGAAAGGGCTGGGTTTTTTGACAATTAAACCAGTTGTGGGTGTGTCAGGCTTGGCCCCTCACTGGCCATTCAGAAAGTGCTCCATGGCTAAATATTTGGTCTATTCAAGTTGTGTATTTATGGTATTTTATGTATTGCCTTGGAATCAACTCCAATTCCAAAGTTAGTCCATTATAGTTTGTTAAACAGCTTACAGAAATAATAAAATGTAGACCTATCCCATCTTTGCTAAATATGTTAACTTGAACCTGTTTGCAGTCACCATTGTTCAAAGTAATTGCATGGCTTCAATGTGGACATATATACATAGCATTCGCACTGATATCGGGGCTAGCCAAAAGTTGTCAATAGGCAAGATACAATTCATTATTGATAAGGCCTAAAAAGAGAGCGAATAATTCTAATCACATTTTAAACAAAACAACAACTTGTTTTAAATAGGCTATTTCCAAATACACTTACAGGCACCATAATTGCTCCCAGTGAGCATATAATATTAAAACAACGCAGACTATGGAGGGTTTTACACACATCCAAACTTTTCACAGTAGTTGGACAAAGATCCAATATAAAGAGAAATGGAGGGGTCTCCCCAGTAGCACAGTGGTCTATGGCACTGCATCGCACTACAGACCCGGGTTCGATCCCACTTTACCTCTCCCGAACCCTTTGGGGAGTTGCAGCGATGAGAGACAAGATTGAAAAAGGGGATTTAATAAAGGGAGAATGTCCACTCACCATCACATTGTTCCAAATATAGTGTTTTAATACATATTGGAACCATCTTACAGATCTCATTCACACTGTTCGTTTTTTCAACAACAACAACAACAACAATAAATACATGTAAAATGTAGAGATGTTATAAAACCTCCAGGATAAAAAAGACTGACGCATTGCTGTTGATCCATCCTTCGTTATAGTAGGCCTATAGGGTAACGGTAGCCTATAGAGGGCTTGGGTTTAAAAAATATGAAACAGAAAACAAGCAATCGTTACAGGAAAATAACTTCTAAATATGAGGTTCACAGGTATTCACTGAGGTTCTCATCTCTCTTTAGATGGGCATGGACACATGTAGGGTTTTACACATGTCCAAAGCATGGCTAAAATAATGTACGGCTGCCTACAATACATAGACAAAAAGGGAATGTCAGCTCATTGTTTTGCTCCTCAAACTTGATCTTTTAATAAAGCTTTGGTGATTAAGATTGATTTCTAAGAGGTCTCACTGAGCCAAACCCTTTATATGGTCTTGACTAGCTTGACTTGATTACATTGGGCAGGACAAAAAGAAAACAGGCTTCATTGAGAGGAGGGGAGGCTATGCTTGGTTTTTAATAAAATGAAACAAAATGGGGGGAAAATATAGTGTTTTATGTTTTTAAATACTAAGAAGGCCTATACAGGCACCAAAAGAACATTACTCTTGTTCCATGCGCATATGGGCAGTGTGCATCACGGCTGGATAGGCTGCGTTTTCACTGTCAAAATTCATGCCATAACCAACCGCATAACCGCTAAAACCAGTTTTTGTTTGGTCTTAAATATCCCTTCCAGCACTCCCTGAAATTAGCACTTTGATCATGTTTTTAAGGACGCACCTCAAATATTTCCACCCCTCCCATCTGAGTGCAAGCAAGCTGATATAAGAGAGGTACATTACCAATCCTTGCGCAATAGTTGAACAATAGCAGAGCGCAAATTAACGTGCGTTTGACACTAGTGCTGCCTTAACGGCAGCCCAAAATAGAGTCATATCAGTGAAATGCAGAGAATGTTTACTGTTTATACTTCACCCTGTCCCCCCTGCTAGTGTATCCCACTGCACCCTGTCCCCCCTGCTAGTGTATCCCACTGCACCCTATCCCCACTGCTAGTGTATCCCACTTCACCCTGTCCCCACTGCTAGTGTATCCCACTTCACCCTGTCCCCACTGCTAGTGTATCCCACTTCACCCTGTCCCCCCTGCTAGTGTATCCCACTTCACCCTGTCCCCCCTGCTAGTGTATCCCACTTCACCCTGTCCCCCCTGCTAGTGTATCCCACTGCACCCTATCCCCCCTGCTAGTGTATCCCACTTCACCCTGTCCCCCCTGCTAGTGTATCCCACTTCACCCTGTCCCCCCTGCTAGTGTATCCCACTTCACCCTGTCCCCCCTGCTAGTGTATCCCACTGCACCCTATCCCCCCTGCTAGTGTATCCCACTTCACCCTGTCCCCCCTGCTAGTGTATCCCACTTCACCCTGTCCCCACTGCTAGTGTATCCCACTTCACCCTGTCCCCCCTGCTAGTGTATCCCACTTCACCCTGTCCCCCCTGCTAGTGTATCCCACTTCACCCTGTCCCCCCTGCTAGTGTATCCCACTTCACCCTGTCCCCCCTGCTAGTGTATCCCACTTCACCCTGTCCCCCCTGCTAGTGTATCCCACTTCACCCTGTCCCCCCTGCTAGTGTATCCCACTTCACCCTGTCCCCACTGCTAGTGTATCCCACTGCACCCTATCCCCCCTGCTAGTGTATCCCACTTCACCCTGTCCCCCCTGCTAGTGTATCCCACTGCACCCTATCCCCCCTGCTAGTGTATCCCACTTCACCCTGTCCCCCCTGCTAGTGTATCCCACTTCACCCTGTCCCCACTGCTAGTGTATCCCACTTCACCCTGTCCCCACTGCTAGTGTATCCCACTTTGTGAATGTTTAGTGTATACAGTGTATTCGGAAAGTATTCAGACCCCTTGACTTCCACATGTTGTTACGTTACAGACTTATTCTAAAATTGATTAAATCGTTTTTTCCCTCATCAATCTACACACAATACCCCATAATGACAAAGCAAAAACAGGTTTTAATAAATTTTTGTAAATGTATATAAAAATTTAACAGAAATACCTTATTTACATAAGTATTCAGACCATTTACTCAGTACTTTGTTGAAGCACCTTTTGCAGCAATTACAGCCTCGAGTCCTCTTGGGTATGAAGCTACAAGCTTGGTAAACCTGTATTTGGGGAGTTTCTCCAATTCTTCTCTGCAGATCGTCTCAAGCTCTGTCAGGTTGGATGGAGAGCATCGCTGCACAGCTATTTTCAGGTTTCTCCAGAGATGTTCGATTGGGTTCAAGTCCAGGCTCAGGCTGTGCCGCTCAAGGACATTCAGAGACGTGCCGAAGCCACTCCTGTGTTGTCTTGGCTGTGTGCTTAGGGTCGTTGTCCTGTTGGAAGGTGAACCTTCACCCCAGTCTGAGGTCTTGAGCACTCTGGAGCATGTTTTCATTAAGGATCTCCCTGTACTTTGCTCCGTTCATCTTTCCCTCGACCCTGACTAGTCTCCCAGTCCCTGCCGCTGAAAAACATCCCCCCAGCATGATGCTGCCACCACCATGCTTCACCGTAGGCATGGTGGCAGGTTTTCTCCAGACGTGACGCTTGGCATTCAGGCCAAAGAGTTCAATCTTGTTTCATCAGCAGAGAATCTTGTTTGTCATGGTCTGAGAGTCTTTAGGTGCCTTTTGGCAAACTCCAAGCAGGCTGTCATGTACCTTTTTACTGAGGAGTGGCTTCCGTCTGGCCACTCTACCATAAAGGCCTGATTGGTGGAGTGCTGCAGAGATGGTTGTCCTTCTGGAAGGTTCTCCCATCTCCACAGAGGGGCTCTTTTGCTCTTAAAACAGCCTCAATTCGTCGGGGCATGGACTCTGCACCTCCCTGACCAAGGCCATTCGCCCCCGATTGCTCAGTTTGGCCGGGCGGCCAGCTCTAGGAAGAGTCTTGGTGGTTCTTCCATTTAAGAATGATGGAAGGCCACTGTGTTCTTGGGGACCTTCAATGCTGCAGAACATTTTTAGTACCCTTCTCCAAATCTGTGACTCGACACAATCCTGTCTCGGAGCTCTATGGACAATTCCTTCGACCTCATAGCTTAGGTTTTTGCTCTGACATGTACTGTCAACTCTGGGACCTTATATAGTCAGATGGGTGCCTTTCCAAATCATGTCCAATCATTTGAATTTACCACAGGTGGACTCCAATCAAGTTGTAGAAACATCTCAAGGATGATCAATGGAAACAGGATGCACCTGTGCTCAATTTCGAGTCTCATAGCAAAGAGTCTGAATACTTATGTAAATAAGGTATTTCAGTTTTTTATTTGTAATACATTTACAGACATTTCTAAAAACCTGTTTTTGCTTTGTCATTATGGGGCATTGTGTGTAGAATGATGAAGAAAACAATTAATGTAATCCATTTTAGAATAAGGCTGTAAAGTAACAAAATGTGGAAAAAGTCAAAGAGTCTGAATACTTTCCGAATGCACTGTATACTTCATCCCTCCCCACGGAGAATGTTGACTGACTCCAGCACTTCCTGGTTCTGTCAGCAGTCATTGTCCTGTTGGAATGTATATCTTCGCCCCAGTCTAAGGTCATGTACACTCTGAAGCATGTTCTCGCCAAGGATTTGCCTCTGTTTGGCTCCATTTATTGTTCCCTCTATCCTTACCAGTCTCCCATTCTGATGGTGTTAGACAGGTGATGAGCTGTGCACTATGATCTTAGTATTTCACTTGCAAACTGTCGTGTGCCTTTTTTTTCTGGAGTGGCTTCCATCTGGCCACTCTCCCATAAAGCCCAGATTGGTGAAGTGCTGTAGAGACTGTTTTCCTTCTGGAAGATTCTCAGCCAAGGAAAGGGAAAGGGGGATCTAGTCAGTTATCTGCCTTGCTCACCTTGCCCTCTTAGGAATTTGAACCAGCAACCTTGCGGTTACTACCCCAACGCTTTAACCGCTAGGCTGCCACCCAGGGAACTCTGTAGTTCATCACTCTAGAAATTGTTTTATACCCTTCCCAGATACTGTATATGCCTCATCACAATTATATCTCAGAGATCTACAGAGTTCCTTGGACTTCATGGTATAGTTTCTGTTCTGACATGGACTGTCAACTGTGGGACCTTACACTGAGTGTACAAAACATTAAGGACACCTGCTCTTTCCATGACATAGACCGACCAGGTGAATCCAGGTGAAAGCTATGATCCCTTATTGATGTCACTTGTTAAATCCACTTCAATCAGTGTAAATGAAGGATACAGGTTTAAAGAAGGATTTTTAAGTCTTGAGACAATTGAGACATGGATTCAGAGGGGTGAATGGGCAAGACAAAATATTTAAGTGCCTTTAAATGGGGCGCACCGGTTTGTGTCAAGAACTGCAACGCTTCTGGGTTTTTCACGCTCAACAGTTTCCTGTGTGTATCAAGAATGGTCCACCACCCAAAGGACATCCAGCCAACTTGACACAACTGTGGGAAGCATTGGAGTCAACATGGGCCAGCATCCCTGTGGGACGCTTTTGACACCTTGCAGAGTCCATGCCCTGACGAATTGAGGCTGTTTTAAGAGCAAAAGGGCCCTTCAGGTCTTACCCACATCGGCTACGGAGAGTGTGATCACACAGTCATCCAGAACAGGTGGTGCTCTCATGCATGGTTCAGTGTTGCTTGTCTCGAAGCTAGCATAGAAGGATAGAGTTATGGTCAGATTTGCCAAATGGAGGGCAAAGGAGAGCTTTGTATGCGTCTCCACATGAAACATGACATAATTAGGGCTGTTATGGTGACCTTATTACTGCCACACTGGTGGTCACGAGTCATGACGGTAGTCAAATTCCGCGTGACCGTTTAGTCACGGTAATTAGGCTTCTCCAAGCTCTGATGTTGCTGGTGGTCATAAGTAGCCTACCAAACTTGCTAACTGTCTGGTACTCAGCACTCTATTGTCACTCTAGTCATTCTGACATCAATGCAAATGTAATTGAAAATCTAATCATACACTTCAGGAGAGCCCTTGAGCTCATGTTGTGCAACATTTCTATAGGCTACGCAATTGCGTGAGAAAACAGAGTGTTGGCCTCTATTAAAAATAGGAGGATCCCATCAGCATTCTATAGGCTAGGCCTACTATATTTATTTCTCAACTTTCCTAATATTAAGCACATTGCTTCTCTTTACAACAGGAGTATAGCCTACCTGGCTGGCATGAAAATGAACCACAGGAAAAGCGTCCTCCATTCACAATTTAAGTGCATAGATGACATGTATTCTTTTCTGCTGCACCTGTTCCGAGACAGGTGCATGACAACGGTCCATTCTAATTCAAAACAAATTTCACACATATATATGATTTAGTATATGTAAAGACAAGATTAAATCAAGAATAGTGTGATGGGGGTGACAATATTAGCCTATCACTTGTAAATTATATATTATCACTTGTGAATGATGCCCAGCTTAAGGCAATAAACTTTTTTTGGCGTCTTTTTCTAATCATAGTCGCACATCTCAAGTAGCCTAGCCCATATGTTTTGATAAGGTTTGTATCACAACTAAAGTGGCCAAATAACTTCTTAAAATGAAGCACATTAATCCGCTTTACAACGGGTGTAGATCCTAACTGGCATACATACGCATGAGTTTCAAGTTTGGGGAAGATAATTTTCACCATACAAATGCGCCTTTATAATAAAAGTATTACATGCATAATCACATTTGTGGTCACTTTCGAGAATGGTGTTTTCCTGCTAATGGAACATTTGTGCTTATAGCCTACTGCTGTGTGTGCATTGCTGCGCTTATAATGTGAAGAAATAGTCGACTAGTTTATCAACATTTTAAGCTAAACGTTCTCATCTGTTGCGTCAGGCTCATTGCTTAAAACAGGTTTTTTGATGTTAGTGGTTGTATTAATTTGGAATCTATCTCATCCTACAACTGTCCCAGACTATGTTTGGAATATTTATTTATTGCACAGAATAGAATAGGTCAACTTTTGTACTATGGGGGATAGTAGATTGACATAGGCTAGTGCTTTTGCTGTTCGTTAGGCCTACTCATCTTGTTGGCTGACGAAAAGTAAATGTGGACAGTTCTTCCAATATCTTCAATATGCACCTCGGAATTGAATAAGGATGCGCGCATTTGCGTCCCCAATGTGTCTGTCTTCACTTGTAGCCTGTGAGAAAGACCCGATCACGTGATGGAGAGCCATGCGAGTGAGAGGTGCTTTGGCACGCAGCCGGGAGAAGGGAATTGTAATTGTTATATTCAGCCCAAGGGCATAATGGCCACTGGCCGCAAAAGGCATGGATTTTTTTTAGGGGGCATTACGGCCACACAAAGGGGATGCAGCTGGGAAATTCGAGGCATTGTCAAGTGCTTGTCAAATTGTGATTAAGTGACTGATGACGTGTGTACAGCCTGCACAAAAAACAAAGCAGAGCTCATGCCTTTCATGCAACCTTTTTCAAATCATGTCATTAGAGTCACATCATGCAGCCTTAGAATGTATTCAAAGTCAAAACATATAACCCAACATTTGTATCACAACTAAAGTTGCATAAATAACTCTAAATTAAGCATATAGGAGGACGTTTGCTCTTTGTCAACACAGAATAGCCGCATGTTGCATGTTGCATGTTGCGTTTATATTTTTGTTCAGTATAATTCCTTTCAGCCAGTCATCACTCATTTGTGTCAGTGCTGAGCATGTTGAGTCCATCCCTATAAACTGAAAGTCAGTTGTCTGTTATTGTTTTCTGTCAAATAACTTTGTATTTGATCAAACCATTTCTTTTTCAAAAGTTTGCTAAGCACTTGTAACAGGCTGATTGGTCGGCTGTTTGAATCATTAAGGGTGCTCTGCTATTCTTGGGTAGCCGAATGACCTTTGCCTCCCTCCATGTCGGAGGGGACACACCGTCTTCTAGGCTTGTGGTGTTAAATACACAGCTATCTTGGTAAATAGTATGGTCTACAGCTTATCATGAGGTATTCTTACTCAGGTGAGCAGAACCTCGAGACTTCCTTAATATTAGAGATTGCGCACCAGCTGTTGTTAACAGAGACACACACCTCCCCCCTTGATCTTATCCGGGGTAGATGTATATTGTCCGTGTCTTCGTTCAGCCACGACTCCGAGAAACATGGGATATTACAGTTCTTCAGATTCCATTGATATGATAGTCTCGAACAGAGCTCGTCCAGTTTGTTCTCTTGCACGTTCGCCAAAAGAACAGAGGGTAGAGGCGGTTTATGTACTCGCCAATGTAGTTTTGTCAGGGTGTCCGCACGTCGGCCTCTCTCGCGCTGTCTCTTTCTCTTCCGAGTGTCGGGAATCAGTGCCTGTTCCGGGGTGAGCAGTATGTCCTGTGCCGCCGACTCGTTGAAGTAGAAATCTTCATCCAATACGAGATTGGTGATCGCTGTTCTGATGTCCAGAAGCTCTTTTCGGTCATAGGAAACAATGGGGGAAACGTTAAGATCAGGTCTCAGGTTCAGGAATGGCTGAAAAATTATAACATTTACCTAAAATTAACTCTACAAATAGCACTGTTGGGATATTTGGAAAGCCATAGTCAATCAATCAACAATATTATAACATTTTAGTAAAAAGATTCATCTTTAACTTACAATCTTTGGATACTGTGAGATTAGAAAGGTTCAAAATTCATGTAAGACATCACAGCACAGTCGAAAGATATGTGGCACGTGAAAATCTAAAGAGGATGGTCTACGGAGATACATTTAGGTGGGGTGGACTGAGAGTAGCAGAGGGGTGGGATTAAAAAGCTCATGATCAGTAATAGTTTTGACTGAAACCATTATATAGATTTCTGAGTACCTATCCAGTATCTATCCAAAATGTAATGTGTATAATCAAAAAATATATATATTTGTTGTCTAATTACTGTGTATAAAAGTACCATGTGTGTAAAATGTATATCTAGCCTAACCAAAACAAGTCGAAAAAAACAGGGCCAATAATAAAACAAATAAAGAAATAAAAACCTAAATAGCAGAATTGGTCAGGAGCTCGTAAAACGGCCGCTATCCAATCCAGCGCCATTCTTAACTTGTAGCTGATTTGAAAAGGTTTAAAAAGGCTCCTGAAGTTTGTCATTTCCACTTTGAAATTTCAGACTTGATTTTCCCTTATGAAAATGTCCATTAATTATATGCAGGATTATTTTCCTGCTTGTAGCAAACTGTCTCAAATTAAGATCTTACATGTGTAGTGGCTATAAAGTGCAGGGATCCTTTGTGTCCATGTATTACAGAATGAGATACACATATTAAAGTATTTCTATTATGGTTGTATTGTTTAGGCATATCTTCACCATACATGATGGTGATTTGTGGATTATGTTTTATACTACACATATCATATGTTAGGCACGCCAGATTGTGAACATTGACTACTGGTATTGTCATTTTTCCATAGCCAATTTGACTGTGGAGGAGATCAGTGCTTTATTGAACTCAACTGACGGATGTATTCAAATTCCTGGAGTTGACATAGAGGCTCTAATGACTCGGTAAGTGATAATGAGTACAGTAGATAACAAACACATTATAAATATATTATATCATAAATATAATCCTCATGTAAATACAATGTTGATTTTATTTATGATTATAAACTGTGTGGTTCGCGTCCTGAATGCTGATTGACCCGTAGTATACTGATTGGCCCGTATACCACGAGTATGACAAAACATGGTAACCAGTATATAATAGCAATAAGTCACCTCTAGGGTTTGTGGTATATGGCCAATATACTCTGTGTTGCATCGTGCCTAAGAACAGCCCTTAGCCATGGTATATTGGCCATATACCACACCCCCTCAGGCCTTATTGCCTAAACATACAGTGGGGGAAAAAAGTATTTAGTCAGCCACCAATTGTGCAAGTTCTCCCACTTAAAAAGATGAGAGAGGCCTGTAATTTTCATCATAGGTACATGTCAACTATGACAGACAAAATTAGAAAAAAAATCCAGAAAATCACATTGTAGGATTTTTAATGAATTTATTTGCAAATTATGGTGGAAAATAAGTATTTGGTCAATAACAAAAGTTTCTCAATACTTTGTTATATACCCTTTGTTGGCAATGACACAGGTCAAACATTTTCTGTAAGTATTCACAAGGTTTTCACACACTGTTGCTGGTATTTTGGCCCATTCTTCCATGCAGATCTCCTGTAGAGCAGTGATGTTTTGGGGCTGTCGCTGGGCAACACAGACTTTCAACTCCCTCCTAAGATTTTCTATGGGGTTGAGATCTGGAGACTGGCTAGGCCACTCCAGGACCTTGAAATGCTTCTTACGAAGCCACTCCTTCGTTGCCCGGGCGGTGTGTTTGGGATCATTGTCATGCTGAAAGACCCAGCCACGTTTCATCTTCAATGCCCTTGCTGATGGAAGGAGGTTTTCACTCAAAATCTCACGATACATGGCCCCATTCATTCTTTCCTTTACACGGATGCAACTCAGCATTCTTTGTTCCCCTAACACGACGAGTTGAGTTTTTACCAAAAAGTTATATTTTGGTTTCATCTGACCATATGACATTCTCCCAATCCTCTTCTGGATCATCCAAATGCACTCTAGCAAACTTCAGACGGGCCTGGACATGTACTGGCTTAAGCAGGGGGACACGCCTGGCACTGCAGGATTTGAGTCCCTGGCGGCGTAGTGTGTTACTGATTGTAGGCTTTGTTACTTTGGTCCCAGCTCTCTGCAGGTCATTCACTAGGTCCCCCCGTGTGGTTCTGGGATTTTTGCTCACCGTTCTTGTGATCATTTTTACCCCACGGGGTGATATCTTGCGTGGAGCTCCAGATCGAGGGAGATTATCAGTGGTCTTGTATGTCTTCCATTTCCTAATAATTGCTCCCACAGTTGATTTCTTCAAACCAAGCTGCTTACCTATTGCAGATTCAGTCTTCCCAGCCTGGTGCAGGTCTACAATTTTGTTTCTGGTGTCCTTTGACAGCTCTTTGGTCTTGGCCATAGTGGAGTTTGGAGTGTGACTGTTTGAGGTTGTGGACAGGTGTCTTTTATACTGATAACAAGTTCAAACAGGTGCCATTAATACAGGTAACGAGTGGAGGACAGAGGAGCCTCTTAAAGAAGAAGTTACAGGTCTGTGAGAGCCAGAAATCTTGCTTGTTTGTAGGTGACCAAATACTTATTTTCCACCATAATTTGCAAATAAATTCATTAAAAATCCTACAATGTGATTTTCTGGATTTTTTTTCTCAATTTGTCTGTCATAGTTGACGTGTACCTATGATGAAAATTACAGGCCTCTCTCATCTTTTTAAGTGGGAGAACTTGCACAATTGGTGGCTGACTAAATACTTTTTTCCCCCACTGTATACTCTTTGATGTATACATTTGAATTTCCAGACATGCCTATTACTTCATCGGGATCGGTTGTGCTGTGTTCCTGCTGGGGACCTTTCAGGTGATGTTGTTCTTGCTGACAGCCACCAAACAGACCAAACGGATCCGGGAGAAATACTTCCATGCCATCCTCCACCAGCAGATGTCCTGGTTTGATACACACCAGATAGGAGTTCTCAACGTCAGGTTGACAGAGTAAGTTTGATACATTGGATGAATGATTGGGGTTTATTTTATATCAAAGAAAGTGTGATATTTTAGCCTAGATGATCACATTGAACAACTACAGATGTAAACAATGCTATTAAGATTGTCTCAATAATCAGGATTATGACAGTTTTAGCGCACTGCCAATCATTTGACTTTCTACAGTGACATCAACACAATCAACGAAGGCCTTGGAGACAAGATCTGTGTGTTTGTGCAGTTCTTCTGTACCTTCTTGTCAGGGTTCATCATTGGTTTCATCTTCGGCTGGAAGCTGACCCTTGTCATCCTGGCCGTCAGTCCTCTCCTGGCAGGATCAGCTGCCGTCTGGTCCAAAGTAAGACTACCAATGACCTACAATGATCTTCATCCCAAATGGCACCCTATTCCCTATATAGTGCATTACTTTGGACCGTATGGGCCCTCTTCGAAAGTAGTAGACTATATAGGGAATAGGGTGCCATTTGGGACGCAGACAAAATATTGTTTTCATATGTGCCACTAAACAGTGGTGGCATCTCTACTCTTGTGCCCAAACCCAAATTGACCCCTAGTTTATACTTATGACCCCTAGTTTATACTTATGACCTCTAGTTTATATTTATCCAATCCTTCAGATTTCCACAATCACATTTATTGTATAAAGCCCTTTTTACCTCAGCAGTGTAAGATACCGTATTCATTAACGTTTGTATTTGATTTCAGATACTTGCCACCCTGACCAGTAAGGAGCTGTCTGCCTATGCCAAAGCAGGGGCGGTCGCTGAAGAGATACTAGTGGCTATCAGGACAGTTGTGGCTTTCAATGGACAGAAGAAAGCTGTGGAAAGGTTAGTCAGTTATTAACTCATTAATGTGTTGCATAAAACAGTGTATCTCTTCCCATAATTATTAATACAATCTACCAAAATCAAGACACATTCCACAATTGATGCATGTCTTCTATCTATTTTAGGTATGAAAACAACTTGGAGGATGCTAAAAACTTTGGAATAAAGAAGGCCATCACCACTAATGTGTCCATGGGCTTCACCCAGTTCGTCATATTTGGGACGTACGCCTTGGCTTTCTGGTACGGGACCAAGCTCTCTGTGGACGAGCCTGAAAACTACACCATTGGAAAAACCATTACAGTAAGCTTTTATGGAAGATCCAAAAGATAATTAAAATGTTATTGTGAAGAGGCCTCTGCAATGTCTTCACACCTGTTATTCTGTCTGGCATGCAGTATAATTTCTTTCTTCATTACATTTTTTATTGCTGTTCATTTTAGGTCTTCTTCTCAGTGATGATTGGGTCGTTCTCTTTGGGCCAGGGTGCTCCTAACTTGGAAGCCATCGCCAAAGCCCGGGGTGCTGCCTATGAAGTCTACAATACCATTGACCAGGTACCGGAAGTATCCGGTTTAACCCCCTAAATCACAATAGCATTGAAACTGTATGAACTCACTCTAACTCACTCAGAACAACATGATCTCAAGAATTCAAGTCAAATTTAGACGTTTGTCCTACTGCCGTAGTTGATGTGAGTTGATTTGTTTGTCATAGCCGCGGCCCATAGACAGCAGTTCAAAGGAAGGTCACAAACCAGACTGTGTGAAAGGAGACATTGAATTCAAGAACATCCACTTCAGCTACCCCTCCAGGAAAGATGTCAAAGTAAGTAGTGGATTTGAATCGAACCAGATCCAGACACTAACCTGTCTCCAAATGATTTGTAAAATGCAAAATAAGGAAGAAGTTTTGTTGAATTGTCACAGTTTCCAGTTGGATTAGCATACTTGCATAAATGATTACAAAAACATAATGACAAGCCGTACAATAGTAAAATGACAGATAAAAATACATGTTAAATACATTGTGGGATGTGTTCCCTGTCGCTGTAGATTCTTCAAGGAGTGAATCTGACAGTGCCTCGTGGGAAGACCATAGCTCTGGTTGGAGCCAGTGGATGTGGGAAGAGCACCACCATTCAGCTGCTGCAGCGTTTTTATGATCCAGACTCAGGAGAGGTATGAACACATCTAATCAAGGTTTATTCAAAGTGTATATAAAGTGCATTTGAACAGAACCAGAGTGCATACAGAGTCATGAAGAAGAGACACATGTCCCACTATAAAGACTCCAGAGGAGGCTGGTGGGTGGAGCTATAAGAGGACGGAATAAATTCCTCCATTACAATGAGCCCGTCCTCCTATAGCTCCACCCACCAGCCTCCACTGAAGGACTCACATGCTTTATTATCCAACCTCAGGAGAGGTATGCAGGACAGGAGTGCATTTAAAGTTCACTGAACTGACCCATAGTGCATACAGAAACTCACATACACACACACACACACGTGTAATGTACACACACACACACACACACACACACACACACACACACACACACACACACGTGTAACGTACACACACACACAAACATTCACTCACGTACACTCATTCTCAAGTTCTGGTTTATCAGGTTTAGGGTTGACATCAGTTCAGTAAAGAGTAAAATAGTATTATAGTGCCCTCTTGTGGAATATTGATATATAATTTGTCAGGAACGCTGCTGGTCTGGGTTGCATAGCCACGGGTGGTAAAGGGTGTTAAGGCTGCTGCATCACACCCTGATAAATCAAAAATAATAAATACAATAATAATTATTATAATAATAAACAAAATTCCCAACTTTATAACTCCTTTATGAGCAGAGAAAAATACTTGTCAGCAAAGCGGAGAAATTTGCATGCCTAGTGAATATGACCCTGGTTTGTTGTCAGATTACCCTGGATGGTCGGGACATCCGGACCCTGAATGTGAAGTGGCTGAGGGAGAATATGGGTATCGTCAGTCAGGAACCTGTGCTATTCGGAACAACCATCGCAGAGAACATCCGCTACGGCAGAGAGGATGCCACAGATGAGGACATCGAACGGGCCGTGAGAGAGGCCAACGCATACGACTTCATCTCCAAGCTCCCCGATGTATGTGGGATAGGATACTCACAAATGACAGCATACAATGGCTTCAGTGTTTCACATGTACTATACATTAAATTATCTATGGTGTACAAATGATCTGAAGTAAGTACGACAGAAGATATTCTGTTGTTTCTATGGTGACTGTGTTGAATTGAAAGGTTTTTTGTTTTGTTTTGAAATTGTATTTAGAGTAAGGAAATGGCCGAATAGTGATGATATTATCCAAATGGACAAATTAAATATAATTATTGAATCTCCATCCCATTTCATGTGGCGATAACAGAAGCTGAACACCATGGTGGGGGAGCGGGGAGCCCAGCTCAGTGGAGGACAGAAGCAGAGGATTGCCATCGCCCGGGCCCTGGTCAAAAATCCAAAGATCCTCCTGCTGGACGAGGCCACATCCGCCCTGGACACCCAGAGTGAGTCGGTCGTCCAGGCCGCTCTGGATAAGGTCAGTACCCTCCCTGAGGACCAGACCCATGGTTAAGGTTGTTCTCACACCTGGTTTTGCGCAACCTAATCTCACATTTGACGGCATAGCCTAATTCTATTTGCTTGACTGCAGCCTTGCAAATTCACGTTTGCGGCAGTCGGACAAACGTCAAGAATCACAATGAATCCATGAGATCTGGTTGGAATCCATCTCAGCGAAAATGAAGACCTAATACAACATTTTAAAAATTTGGAATAAATGATGACAATATTGTCTTCTCCCAATCCCATAGGCCAGGGCGGGCCGCACCACGATAGTGATCGCCCACCGCCTGTCCACCATCAGAACAGCTGACGTGATCGCTGGCTTCAGCAATGGGGAGGTGGTGGAGCAGGGAACACACAGGGAACTCATGGCCAGGAAGGGAGTCTACTACTCTCTGGTCATGCAGCAGGTACTGTATCCGCCTCACTGAGTCCCAAATGGCACACTATTCCTTTTATAGTGCACTACTTTTGACCATGGCCCCAACTCTGCCTCAACAGTAGAATCAGTCAACATCTAAATCATGTTGATCAGAGTCATATTTAGAGCCACATATCATCAGCATCAGAGCGATATACCTTATCAAGCCTGTGTCTATATGAATGATGAACAGCAGTAAACAAGCTCTGTGTGTAACATGATCAAATCCACTATAACACCTTGTCTGTTGTTCAGAGTCAAGGGAAGCACACTATCATACCTTGTCTGTTGTTCAGAGTCAAGGGAAACCCACTATCACACCTTGTCTGTTGTTCAGAGTCAAGGGAAGCCCACTATCACACCTTGTCTGTTGTTCAGAGTCAATGGAAGCCCACTATCATCACCTTGTCTGTTGTTCAGTCAAGGGAAGCCCACTATCACACCTTGTCTGTTGTTCAGAGTCAAGGGAAGCCCACTATCACACCTTGTCTGTTGTTCAGAGTCAAGGGAAGCCCACAATCATCACCTTGTCTGTTGTTCAGAGTCAAGGGAAGCCAGAGGAAGATGAAGAGAACCCTGTGGAAGAAGAGGACAACCCTCCTAAATATGAGGATCTGGATGATGTCCTGTATGACTCTTCTGACATGGATGAGCTGGAAGTGGTAAACGAGGAAGGAATAGAAAATGGCGGCTTTGAAAGGAACTCAATCAGCAGTGGCCGCGTGGAAATGAGACCGACCAAGAAGAAATCTAAGAAGTCCAAGAAAGACAAGAAGGTACTATTACATAGATTATCCTTAAGGGAGTAATATGACATCCTTTATATGTTATATTATAGGAACATGGCTTTGTTATAGTGCTATTGCTGAACTATCATCATAAGTACTTACTATATAATGTATGGTATATAATGTATGGTTTATAATGTATGGTTTATAATGTATGGTTGCATTCATTTATGTTTTAGTCATTTAGCAGACGCTCTTATCCAGAGTGACTTAAAGAAGCAATTAGGGTTAAGTGCCTTGCTCAAGGGCACATCGACATATTTTTCACCTAGTCGGCTCGGAGATTCGAACCTGCCACCCTACTTTATATAGTGATAGTCTATCATCATCAGAAATAAGATCTGTTATATCATGTTGGTCCTTGGTCATTTAGTTTTGTCATTGATGACAATGTTTGATGACAGAAGGAAGAGAAACCAGAGGAAGCTCCAGACGTCCCCTTCACCAGAATCCTGGCCCTGAACAAGCCTGAGTGGCCGTACCTGTTGGTAGGAACCCTGTCTAGCCTGGTGGGGGGAGCCGTTTATCCCTGCGTCGCCATCATCTTCGCCAAGATCATTGGAGTAAGTGTTTCACAAGAGCACCACCTTGTGTTCATATGAAGTATTGTTAAATACTGTAGAGACTACTTACATTTTCTTGGTGTCTTGATTGAGTTTGATTTAAAGGAGGTGGTCTTATTTTTCCACATCATTTATTTGATGGTCTTGGTTGGTGGGTTTTGGGTCTTATTTTCCTAAATGTCCTGTTCATTTTATGTTGTTATCTATTTTGGGGGGGTTTCTCTCCACCCCTTGACCTTCTCTAGGTGTTTGCTGAGGTTGACCCGGAAGTCAAACGACAGAGAACTATGATGTTTTCACTGCTTTTCCTTCTCATCGGAGGAGTGGCTTTTGTCACCTACTTCCTAAAGGTTTGCTAATCTATAGATCTAACATGTGTCCAAAATGGCACCCTATGCCCTATACAGTGCACTACGTCTGACCAGGGCCCATAGGGTGTCATTTGGGACACACTTTAAAGTACAATTCTGTATCTATCTCAAAGCCTTAATACGTTGTGGGTATAACTGGTTGGGTAAATCTCTGCTGTTTCAGGGTTACATGTTTGGAAAATCAGGGGAACTTCTTACCATGAGGCTGAGGAGGCAGGTATTCCTTGCCATGATGAGACAGGTAGGACAAACTGTCATGCAGGAAAATAAATACTTCAGACATTGTACATAAATTCAAAAAGACTGACTTGTCATTTTTAATTGGCTTTACTGTATTGATAATACACAAAAAAAGGACGATTCTGAACTGCCACTTTGCTGTGTTTTGCCTCAGAATCTTGCTAAAATGATGATTCTGAACTGCCACTTTGTAGTGTTTTGCCTCAGAACCTTTCTAAATTGCTTTCCTTACAGGAGATTGGATGGTTTGATGACAACAACAATGCAGTGGGAGTTCTAACCACCAGATTGGCCACAGATGCATCACTGGTAAAAGGGGTAAGCACAATGCCCTGATGTACACATTGAGCTAGCAATCAAAACCTATCACATCAAGTCAATGTCAATTCAGAATCATTCTACTGTACAAATCTTTGAAAATATCTACCTGTACATATGCTTCTATGTATTTGTGACCATTTACATTTACATCATTTAGAGTTCCAATGTCTGAGAATGGATGGATCCAACTTGTTTCCTCTCTCCTCACCACCAGGCGACTGGGTCTAGGTTGGGTCTGGCCACCAACACAGTGTGTGCTCTCACCATCGCCATCGTGGTGGCCTTCATCCACAGCTGGCAGCTCACCCTCCTCATCCTCGCCTGTGTGCCCTTCCTCATCGGAGCCAACATCATTCAGATGAGGGCCATGGCAGGCCACGCCTCCAAAGACCAGGGTGCCCTGGAACAGTCTGGGAAGGTAAACATCAACCTTCTATTGCAATTAGGGTTGCAAAATTCCGGTAATGTTCCCAAAATTCCCAGGTTTTCCAGTAATCCCAGTTCTAGGTTTTTCCGGAATCAGGAGGGAATCAGCAGGAAATCAGGGAAACCTTCAAACAGGATATCTGGATAACAGGGAATTTCGGGAAGGTTACTGCTATTATGCAACCCTAATTGCAATGCACTTTGGGACAGTGGCCTATATCAGTGTGTGATACCATTTGTTCAAATAAAATGTTCATATATGTTTGTAGATATCTACTGAGACCGTTGAAAACTTCAAGACGGTTGTTGGATTGACACGGGAGGACGTCTTCTTTCACAAGTTCATGGACAGTCTAGAAAGACCATACAAGTAAGAATACAATTATTCACATTGTTTATAGACTCAGCTTTTGGATTGCTTGACCTCATAAACGACAATCAAGTACTGATTTGGTTTCAATTGAATACATCAGGAACGGTTTGGTGAAGGCACCCATCTACGGACTAACATTTGCCATTGCCCAAGCAATCCCTTACATGGTCAACGCTGCAATCTTCCGTTTTGGGTCCTGGCTTATTGCTCACTGTTACACAGAATATGAAAATGTTTTCCTGTGAGTATACATACTGCTACTGTTACAGTATATCCTCATCTAAATAAATACACTCACACCAGGGTTGGAGTCAATTCCACTTAAATTCCAGTAAATTCAGGAAGTACACTGAGATTTTAATTCCAGTTCTCTTCAATGCTTTTCAATTAGGAAAATGTGGAATTGGAATTGGGTTTACTTTTTGAATTGACGGCAATTGAAATGGAATGTACCCCAACCCTGACTAGAACCCCTGGCTGCCACATTGTCACTACACAGTAATATAATAATAATAATAATAATAATAATAATAATACCCTCCAAAATAATAATAGTTTGGAGGGTGCTTACATTTGTCCTATTTCACACATGTACAAGTGTGTATTAATGCGCATGTGTGAATTGTAAATGTGTTTTTTGCATATTCCAAATCTCCCCGAGACACCCTCGTTGAGTTGGGTCATGGCCAGGGTCTGCCAATATAGTGGCAGTGATAGTACAACATTGTCCTTTTCTTTCGCAGTGTGTTTTCCGTGATTATATTTGCTGCCATGAACATAGGAGAGTCTGCGTCTTTTGCTCCTGACTTTGCCAAGGCGAAAGCAGCAGCAGGGAGAATTCTTGGCTTGTTGGAGAAGAAACCAGAGATTGACATTTACAGTGAGGAGGGAGGGAAGCCAGTGAGTGAGCTATGATGCGTCTTACTCCAATACAAACAAACAAACAATGATATAACATTGTTTTCTTTCTGGAACAAAAATGTTGTCTTTTCCAGACGGACATTGCCGGGGACATTGAGTTCCGAGGGATCCACTTTGCATACCCGACCCGTCAGAACGTAAGGGTTCTCCAGGGGTTGAACGTGTCAGTGGGGCCTGGTCAGACCCTGGCGCTCGTCGGGGAGAGTGGCTGTGGGAAAAGCACCTCCATACAACTACTAGAGCGCTTCTATAGCCCTGCTGAAGGACAAGTGGTGAGACAACCACAAAAATAATAAAATAATACATGTAATGTAAAACACGCTTTTCAAAACTATTTCAAGGTGCTAAACCAGTATACTGTGTATTAGAATGCAACAAATATAGTAAAACTGTAAGGCCACTTTTTAGCATTTTAATATTTGTAACATTATGGATTATTAACTCCTTTGGTATTCCAAGATGTTACTTCTTTTTAATCTGAACATTTAAACATTCTAATCCTAACTCTGTAGTATTATTGGGGTGTCTCAGTTAGTGAAGGGGTTGACCTAAATTTGTGGTATTATTGTGGTGTCTCAGTTAGTGAAGGGGTTGACCTAAATCTGTGGTATTTTTGTGGTGTCTCAGTTAGTGGATGGGTTGGATACTAAGAGCCTGAACCTGTCGTGGCTGAGGTCTCAGCTGGGCCTGGTGTCCCAGGAGCCCATCCTGTTCGACTGCAGCATCTCAGAGAACATCCAGTACGGGGACAACAGCAGAGAGGTCTCCCAGGACGAGATAGAGGAGGCAGCCAAGAACGCCAACATCCACAACTTCATCATGGGCCTGCCAGAGGTATAGAAACAGTATAGTGAGGGAGATGGGAGGAGAGATGATAGGCTGTAGCTGTAGGATGATATTTGAAGTCTTCTCAAAAGGGATCCCAAAAATGTCAGTGGTGAGGTCACAGTAGAACTTAAACTAATGTCTCTCTACAGATATTCATATACAATAGCTATTGACTAGCCCGAGACTGGCTATTATGACTTAGAATTTGGCTGCTGGAAATTTATATTTTAAAAGTGTTCAATATAGACACACTATAAATTGTGTTGTTGTTGTTGTTTTGTCAGAAATACAACACCAGGGTTGGGGACAAGGGGACCCAGATGTCTGGAGGTCAGAAACAGAGGATAGCCATCGCCAGAGCCCTGGTCAGACAGCCTAAAGTACTGCTGCTGGATGAAGCCACTTCCGCCCTGGACACTGAGAGTGAGAAGGTAAGTCACATGGACATTGAGTGTTGGCCATCTCATTTTCTATCTATTAATTAATTAATTAATTAATGAATTAATGAATGGCCTGGTGACGGGCGGCAACACACAAAAGCTTATCTTCACACAGTATGGCCTCTCCCTCCTTCCCAAATAACCTCTCTGTCTCTCTGTTTCCTCCCTCCCTCCCTCCCTCCTTCCCCCTCTCCCTCTCTCCCTCACTCTCCCTCCCTCCCTCCCCCAGATTGTCCAGCAGGCCTTAGACGCCGCCCGGCAGGGCCGCACCTGCATCGTGATCGCCCACCGCCTGTCTACCATCCAGAACGCAGACCAAATAGCGGTCATTCAGTATGGTCAGGTGACAGAACAGGGTACACATGCTGACCTCATGGCTAAAGAGGGGGCTTACTATGCCCTGGTCAACGCACAGGTCACCCACTAACTCATATTCAGATTGACGTTTTTGCTGCATATGTACTGTTCTGTTGAATGTTGTTTTGTGAGCTCTTTTTATTGAGCTGCCCTTCTTGGCCAGGTCCCCCTTGAGAAAGAGGTATCCTGTCCATAATGGGACTTCCTGGTTAAATGAAGGTTATATATAAAAATGAATAAAAAATAAGGACTCTATATGGATAATGGTATGGCAGCCAAACTCACTTTGAATGGACTGCTAAATGATGTTCAATTGTATGATACAAACTGTCTCAGTGTCAATCAGTAGGTGGTGCACTGAAATGTAGCCTATTGGTTTACTGTGCTATTGGGTTACTGTGCTATTGGGTTACTGTGCTATTGGGTTATATTGGGTTACTGTGCTATTGGATTACTGTGCTATTGGGTTACAGTGCTATTGGGTTATTATTGGGTTACTGTGCTATTGGGTTATATTGGGTTACTGTGCTATTGGGTTACTGTGCTATTGGGTTATATTGGGTTACTGTGCTATTGGGTTACTGTGCTATTGGGTTATATTGGGTTATTGTGCTATTGGGTTATATTGGGTTACTGTGCTAGTGGGTTATATTGGGTTACTGTGCTATTGGGTTATATTGGGTTATTGTGCTAGTGGGTTATATTGGGTTACTGTGCTATTGGGTTATATTGGGTTATTGTGCTATTGGGTTACTCACTGTATTACTCACTTTAGCAGCAATGCTGGAGCAGTGACATTAGCGTAGATAAGTTTTGATAAGCTGCCTCAAATGAATTAAGTGTTCTTGACCATGGAACCTTTCATTGTCTGAAGACAACAAATATGTATTTCTATGAGAAATACAATAATCCACATTATCACAGTTAAATTACTGGATAAAAGCAGTGATTGGAATAGGTTGTATACCTGTAAATATGATAGGTTGATGTTCTGAAGACTATTGTATATTATTGAATACTGTGATATTTTGATTATTTTAAACAGGGACATTATGGTGTAAAAGCTAAAGTATGCATTTGAAGAATATCTATGTATTTAAATTAGTTCACTATTACTTGTTTGTAAATATACATTCAAAATAAAAGTGTAAAAGCTAAAGTATGCATTTGAAGAATATCTATGTATTTAAATTAGTTCACTATTACTTGTTTGTAAATATACATTCAAATTAAAAGTTAGATCCCATAACATTTTATTTTTAAACCTGATTCTAAAGTGACATAATGATTAAATTAATCTATAATCTAAATTGGATTATGGGGTATAAATCAATACATTTTCAAATAAACTTGGAACTCGTTAATTCTAAATGACAAGTTACACTGACGATGAGCCAAGAAATTACTCATATCCAAATGCAGGCTAAAAGATGCGCAAGAGTTTTGTTATTTGAGAGCATTTTCAAGGATAAACCTATGTTCTCACACTGAAGAAGGCACAGTGATGCCTAAACGTTGGTGGTTTTTTACCCAATAAATTACTGGGAGGTTATACATATGGAGTGTGCGACGCTCTTTGTTTTTACAGCTCAAATATTTATTGAACATAAAATAGTCCGACTAAATAGGCCACTGAAGTGTGCAGAGGGCTGATGAACACAAGATGGCGCACGTTGCCAATGAAACCCGTTAGTGGGGAAATATAACTTCCAAACGACTTCACTTCGATTGAGGCCTATTTCATCTCCAACCAAAGCTAACTTCGGTAAAAATGCCAATTGTTTTCCAACTGTAAATGAAGGTTTAAACAACACTAGATGACATTTAAAAAATTGGCCTATGAAAAATAAATTGTAGAAATATATGGCCACGTCGTTTTAGTCTAGGGTTATGGAAAATAGCTTCTTTGGTTTACATTCCTAAAAAATTGATGTAAAGGTAACATTTCTTATCTTGCACGCCGCAACATTAACTTTCTTTCAACCTCCCGAATTAGATCAGAAATAATAGTCTACAGCTGGCCATAAGAGAATGATAAAAATAAAAAACGTTAAAGAAATGTGTTGTCATAAAAATCTAATCTTGAAATGATAAAATCGTGATAGGCCCAGGCTTGGTGTTAAACGAAGTCGGACTATTTCAAAAGGCACAACATCAGGTTACATGAAGCTATGAACCAGTTATCCTATCGTGCATGCCCTTCTCAGTCAAGTCAACCTAAACCATCTAGGCAGAAATGTATTATTCTGCGCCAATGTATTTACTTCCTTACATTTTATTTATGAAGAGTTATAAGAACTTAGCCTATATTTTTGCCTGTCGTTTTAATATTAGTACGTTTCCCACAGCAGGTGAAACATGCACGGCTGTACCAGTAGCTGATTTGGTTCTGGGTGACACTGCAATGATTACCCAAATATTTTTCCAAATAGGCAGACTATAGTTTTTTTAAGCAATAAATATAATATATTATTTTGTGGGAATAATTTTGGGGATGTAGAGAAGTTTTGCACTACGATAGTTTTGCACTACAATAAATATAATAAGTATTATGATGGAAATAATTTGACGGATCTAGAAAAGTTTTGCGCCTCAACTTTTTCATCCGATTTTTGTCCATGATATTTGGTTTTGTTTGAATAATTCTGATATCAATAACATCCTATAAATATTACTTTATGGCAAATTAACAAGTGCTGTAAAGTTATACATATTAGAAAGCAAAACTACTTCCACCTATTTGTAAAAGTGACACATACATTCGCAACCAAATATGGAACCCGTTTTACGGGCGCAGCAGTTTCTCTGGACGCGAGCTTTTATGTTCAGAAAATGAGATTGGACCACAGGAAAATTATAATACTTAAAATAGTAGTTAGAGTATTTATTTTTCAAACATGGTCATGCAATCCAGCTAAAATATTTGTTTTTAATGTGGATGGTCGTTTACACAAACTACCCAAACTTTCAGACACATATCTTGGCGTGGAAACGTCACCTGCATGACATACATTTCTCTCTATACTTTTGTTATAATTGCCCATCGGTAATAACAACTTCATTACATACATTCAAATATAGATTTGTATATGTTTTTATATAAAATGTTTTGCACATCTGGAAGTAAAACGTCACAGAAAGGAAGTTCAGTGCTAATAGTAATTTCTTAAGAAAAACTAAACCTATGTTTTAGGCTATAAAATTCTGATGAAAGAATATGTTCTATTAAATATTTTGTTTGAACTTTCTTATTTGTTTAAGAAGCAACAGATCGGAGAATCAAGGACAATTTGATTGATATTACATACAGGTCATGTGCACCATCGGCCTATGTCAACTATATGAAATAGCCTACCACAGCATGGCAACATTTTAGGTGGACTCTACCAGTAACACCTTTTTGCCTAATTCTCATTGCAGAGAATAGCTTTGTCGACTGTGCCAATGACGTGTTCAATTTCAATTACGAAGCAAACAAACTGAGTCTGAACGAATTGATTCTGAATCCATAGCGACTTTATTGAGTGCCTTAAATTAGAAAGCCAGTCTCTGAGAAATGATGCTTGTGAAATTAACGTCACTTTACAACATGCTTACTTAAATTAAAACATGGGAATAATAAACAGTGAATGATTTCGAAATCATCTTACAAATAAATTCAAAGTGCGTCTTTTAAAAGACTTCCGAAATACAAGTAAAACTCGTGGTTAAATATAACTCCCCACAATAACATGTTTTATATCCTGACAAACAAACAAAACAAAATAAAACAAACATTTCTAAATACAATTCCGTACATGTTCAGATGTTTACTAGAGCCAAATGTACAACTAGAAATGACTATACAAAATCGTCTCCTGGACAAATAAACTCACCTTTACATTGGTGCGGAATAATTTTCTAGGCTATTACATTTCTCATTATATACAGCCTTGCACTGACGTGAAATGTAAGTATTTCTTACAAACTTGGTCAGGCTCTTTCTGACAGTATCCGTGGAGCGTTGAATCAATGCGCGATATAACTTTTCCTCCATTATGAATAAACAGGTGATGTGTTTGATAGGGTAGATAAGGGCATAAAGAAAACGTTGAAAACCCGCACATACATAGCTACAGTGATTTGTTCTTACAAAGGAGCCATCGAAAAGGACACACGCTGATCATTTTAGTGTTCAACAGGCTAATAAAGTGCCACAGTTTGGTTTTGAATAAAAGTACGTCAGCACAGCAGTAACAAGATATTTCAGGCCACATATTATCACCAACTGATAGAACAACGTTGTCTATGTCTTGCTTATTGTAATGCCCATGTAATAACCATGTTGCGTAAAAACACTCAAAAGGGTACATACACCAAAGTATAGGCTTCCCGGTTGGAACAGTCTGTGCGTTAGAAGAACATTGATGTGTTTACATTGTGCCCCAGTGTTCCAGTGTGCCTTCAGGATTACTTTACCACTACTGTATTTGACCTGTACACCCCACGTCGTCAATAGGCTACTAGGAAATATCATTTGATCAGTAGTCTAAATCACTTGATTAACTCAACTCGTACACATGAGCATAATTACGCATACTCAACGTATGTCCACTGTAGTTTAGCCATTTCCCTCAGATCATCTGTTTTTCCCAGATATCATACTTAGTCGAGAGAGTTTAGAAAGGACCGTTCGTTGCCCGTTCCCTGGGGCAGACTCGGGAGGTTGCAACAGGTCGGGGGAATGGCATGGAGGGCTCCCCGGGGCGCTGTGCTCACTGTCGGTATCGCTTCCCCTCTTTCCCCCGCTGCCCGAGCCAGACCCGGCGGAGCCCCCGGCGCTGTGAGTCTTTACGTGTTTACTCAGATGGTCGCTCCGCATAAACCTCTTGTTGCAGACCGGACAGGCGAACCTTTTCTCCCCGGTGTGCGTGCGCAAGTGTCGCTGGAGCTCGTCAGAACGCGTGAACCTCTTCCCGCAAAACAGCCAATTACACACAAACGGTCTCTCTCCGGTGTGCCACCTCAAGTGCGCCTTAAGGTGCGACGTTTTGCCGTAAACCTTACCGCAGCCCGGAATGTGACAGCTATGGAGCCCTTTCCTCCGCAGACTTGCTCCCGCCGGCCCCAGCCTCTCCGACTCCTGACAGTTGGGACAGTCGCAGGTGGCTCTGCCAGAGTAGCGCCGTGCAGAGGACCGGGGAGACCCCGCTAGAGAGGCCGTTGGCCCCCCAGACAACATAGTCCCCCCTGCTCCGCCTAATGGAGACGGACTGGAGTCCGGATAAGAGGACAACACCGGCTTGTATCCGTCCATCAGGTGCTGCCCGGTTGTCAAAAGGTGTGGAGAGGGACTTGTACTGAAGGCTGAGTGACTTAGGCTGGAGTAATCGGAATTGTAGCCCCCTAAAGGAGAGTGTAACGACGTCTGGAGTCCACCGGAGTGCAAGGAGGTCTGTAGAGCTGCACCATTCGGGTTCTGAACATCAATCCATCCCGCTCCCACGTCCCACCACGCAGATGCGCCGGTGGTGCCAACCTCTCCTGTGGGGATACCATGATGGGACGACTTGAACCAGGACTCGTATGGATGAGCAACGCTCATTCTCGGGTAGATGCCTTGCAGACTGTCCACTGAGGAGTGCACCTTGGAAATAAAGACGGGTTGATGGCTGGGTTCTTGAGAACTGTTTGTAACGGAGGCCTGAAATACAGAATAGTCGTTTCCAAAGTGGGGCGTGGATGAGGTACCGGACGTGAGGGAGAAGGCACTGGATCCAGGGGGAGCTGTTGGTGCCAAACGAGTCCGATAGACCAGCTCCGTTACGGGACACTCCGAAACCGGATAGGCCGGACCCAAGGCTGCAGCTGCTGGCGGTGGCTCGCTTCCACGGGTGGAAGCCTTTCCCAAACGTTGAAGAATTATCCGAAATGGAGGATGGTGAAGGGCTCGGACTCCCTATCTTGTTGCATGTCGCAGCCAACATGGCTAAAGGAGTCGATCCTAACCTCGGCTCCTCCTGAAATGACAAGAAACAACATGTAAGTCCCTGTTGATATTGATAACGAACGTTTCAGTTTGCTTGGTCAGTTGGTGCCTAATAGCCTTTTCTATAGTAAGCTACAATAACAATGATTATTTGGTCGGTGAAAAGTTAATTCCGTGCTAATGCGAAAGCTACTTTGTAAACTATTTGCATTTGCAATAGGCCTACTAGCGGGACAGTTTAAACAGGCATATTTTCCAAGGCGTAACAGAATCATAACATACCTGTAGACTGAGATGAAATAGAAAGCACCAAAATGTATCTATAACAAAACTATTAAATTACGTTATATATGACATGCACAACAACATGCGCGTCTTGTGCACATCAGTAGAAAGTTATATCCCGCGCGCGTCTCTCTGTCGTTGCGAAATGAATCTCAGCTTTTTTCTAGTGACCCACTTGCTTAAAACATAATCAACGAACTGTCTTTCCTACTGTGACCGAAGTAATGCTAATCCCCTCCGCTGGACAATAAAATAACTAATTAAACCAGCAAGAAACCCCTTAGACTCACCCCTAGAAGTGAAGTTGCCATCACAAAAAGTGCCCTCCTCAGAGGATCTTTTTATATTTATGAATCACAGCAGTGTTTTTTTTTTAGAGGTGTGCAATACAATGATGTGTTCCGCCCATTCCACCACAATTGTAGGTCCTCTCCGGCTTTGAAGTACCGCTGTGACACGGGCGACCAATCAGCGCCTCTGTACCACCACACCGCCACATTCTGACGTGAGGTCATCAGTAGACTACTTCAGACAGCTCTCCACCCCTTCTTCATAATAAAAGAACGGAAGAAGGTAAAGTTAAATGAGAGTGAAAAGATTTACTTACTGAAATTTGAAAGAGGAAATTTGGGAATTTTATTTCTTTACGATGAAAAGGAGACTACTTGTGCTATTATTTATTGTTATCGTAATTATTGTTATTAGGTTATTATTCGTTGTTGTTGTTATTGTTGTCCACTTTCTACCAGTGTTACATTGAGGAAATAAATGTCTTAGCTACCCTTTTGTGGCGTATTTCCCTTCTAAGTTTTACATTAAAGTTGTTGTCATTACATTTAAGTAGTTCATGCAAACAACGATTATGAAGCCTACAAAAGACTCCATTGTTTTCACAGGACCAATATTACCTTTTTTGAAAATGTCACTTTACTGTAATTGCATTCCATTATCTTGCCAATGTTGATTAAAACTACAATGACTGCATTCCAGAAAATAGATGACTGACGTTATTATTAACTTCATAGTATGACAAAATAATTATGTAAGTACACCTAATTTAGCTAGTTAGTTTACATTGATACATCAGTCCATGGAGTTACAGTGTGTGTGTGTGTGTGTGTGTGTGTGTGTGTGTGTGTGTGTGTGTCTGTGTGTCTGTGTGTGTATGTGTGTGTGTGTGTGTGTATGTGTGTATGTGTGTGTGTAAAAGAGAGATTGAGGAGCTTAAAGGAGAGCAGAGCACATCTCAAGTAAAAGGAAACCAACTTCATTTCATCATTCTTACCTTTCCCTGTTTTGTGTGGCCAGATGAGATCTGTTTAGCCTAATTATATCGTTAATAATTAATCAATGTGATCTTAGATTTGGCCTTTGTTGAGATTGAGATATGAAAACAGTATTAATCGCATTACAGTGGTACAAGGCACGTTTCTGTCCTTTTCGTACAGCCTATGCGGAGCTTACACATTCGATCAAATATAAAAATGAAAGGCTATTTTGATAATATCGAATATGTTCCATCACATCTCAACTGTTATGAGCCCATGTAGCTAAGTACATCATAATAATAGCTTCTGTTCGTTACATAACAGGAACTTGTAGGCCATAACATAGGTTGAACCCGGGGACTCTCTCTCTCATTCTCTCTGTCGCTCTCTCTCTCTGTCTTTCTTTCTTTCTCTCTCTCTCTCTCTCCCTCTCTCTCTCTCCCTCTCTCTCTCTCTCTCTCTCTCTCTCTCTCTCTCTCTCTCTCTCTCTCTCTCTCTCTCTCTCTCTCTCTCTCTCTCTCTCCTCATCGCTCTATTAGCATGCAGTGTGCATTGGCAGCATACATTTCATTTGAATTTCAAATTTAATAACGCAGGAGGTTTTTAATCATGCGCAGTTTTATTTGTTTGATATTAACATGCTTATTGACCGGGTCTGTTGACCAGCTTGGTCATTACAAGACAGCGAAAAGTTAATTAAAACGACCAGGGATTATTCATCACATCATCTGCCTAACCCATGTCGCTTCCTTTATTACACTGTGTGATAGATGGACTCTCTGATTAATTCCTCTGTTTATTCGATTGGACAACAGCTTTTTGGATTTAATTTACGCTGCTAGAGCGAACAAGGTGCCATCAAAATGTGTCCAGAGCGCTGGAAAAACAAAATGAAAGAAATTAATATCTAGGCTAAGTAACAGAGCGCATTGGAGAAATAAAGTTCATATTGGAATTGGACATCCACAATTTTGATACAGGGTAGCGATTACATAGGCCTATAGATGGACTAAAAATTATTATTACTATAAATTTAGTTGATATAGCCTAAGTAACAGTTGTGCTGTATAATGTCTATACATCTGTCTATTTGTAGCCTAATATTGACATAATCATTTCTCGTGTTCATGCAGTAAAGGTAGAAATAGTTTAAAAAATTGTAGTAGGCCTATGTTAAAAAAGTACTTTGTATTTCTCTTTGAGTTCTTCACATTTATGCACATCTCAGTTTTACATTTTATCATTGGTTTTTATTGTCTGTAATTTCTGCAAATATTGAAATAGAAACATTCTCTGAAAATAATTCAAACTTTAGATTTGTAAAACCTGCCTGTCAATGAATTAATGCAACCCATTAATTTAGCTTATAATTTCGAGAAAACTGGGTCTCCAATATTAAACTTAAAACACACTAATATGCTATTTAATATTTAATATAACCATAAAAAAGCAATACAGAGTTTCCATAAGAACAGAAGTATATGCTATACTAGAACTCAATCAGTTGATTAATTGACGTAATTTCTCCCTAAACAATTTAGCACAAATGGCAACAACAAAAAAAGTCAGAAAACGATGCAACAGATACACCAAATTATTTGAATAATACAATGTGTAGCCTAGATAGAAGCTTACATACCGTGCTCCACTCGGCGCCATATTGATATCGATTGACCCTCGATGTTTCTGTCTGTACTGCATGAGGCTGAGCGCAGCGCTGCATCCCCTCCACCCGCAGGCGGTACAACAGTAAACCCGGTCCCCTGCAAGATAAATGGTACTTTGGGAATTGCGTTTAATTAGGAATAACTGAGGAGAGAGCGGCTTGCTAGTCCACTGGTGGTCTAATCACAACATGTGTTCAAGCCAACTGACAAGGTTGCGCAGTCATGTGCTTACCTAAATATCCCAGGTAGGTATGAGAGCTAACATAAGGGATGCAAAAATGTGATGCTGCGTTATGCGTTTTGCTATTCATGGGGAAGGAAGGAGAGGTTATATTTTTAAACAAGTCACCATGTGTGGAAACCAAGGTATGTCACATTGATAAATTGCTGGGTTGTATTATCAAGCAGACTGATTTGATAGGTCAGCAAGATAACAGTTAACGATGCAACATGTTTCAGCATGTCACTGATGGACAACTACATCATTGATGGGAGAGAGAGATTGGACACTTCCAAATGGTCAATTGACTTTCATATGTCTAGGGTGGTTTTACCGATCCGTATTTTACAATTTAAACAATGCCCTTTGTCGGCTATTTGTGCGCACAGACTCTCTCCCATAAACCCTTCAGTCACAGTGAGGGTGGGTTGGCCTGAGTTCACATGGTGAGGCCAGGCACAGGTTGTTCTTTCTGATCGCCTATCTCTCCGCTAACTGTACGTCACAATGAACAGATGTCCCCATTTAGGGCTTTCTTTCTCCTACACACATGGACTATATTACCATCATGAAATCAAACTCCAAACCTGTCCCTTTCGCCGCTATAATGACCGCGTTATTCAGGGCCGCTGAGCACGAACAAAATGTGCTCAATATTGTCTTCTTTAGAAATATTCTGCATAGAAAATGAAGGGAAGGAGAGTCTGAGGGGGAAGTAGCCGGGTGAAAGGGATGGTGAACTTTACTCTAAATGTGGTGATTTACAAAAGCAACTCGATAATCTCTGGGCCTTACTGCTGAAGACCCATGCTCCGAAGTAAACTGCAGGTTGCGGCTTGCCACAGCAATTAGTCGACTATCATGTTGAAATTAGATAGCCCCATTTTTGCAGAAAACCATACAAATAATTGTCTTGGGTTTAGGGGCACCACCTCACTCCACCTCTGACTGTTCAATTAAGTTACAAGAGAAATAAAGAGTTGAGTGTCCTAGGGTAGCCTACAGATGCCTATCAAACCCATGTTTCAACCATATCATACTTAGCCTACGCTATGTTGTTTTGTGCAATATATCTCAAGTGACAGAAGAGGATTTCAGGACACAAGTGTTTTTGAGTGACGGCTCCTCCACTATTCCACTATTGTTACTCACTCTGCACATAGATGTGATCATATCTATAGCATGGTGTTAACTCAAGTGACAGAACAGGATATGGGGACACAAGTGTTTTTGCCTGACTGACTGCTGGTGTGGGCTAGTAGTGGTTCTCTCCTCTCCTCTCCTCTCCTCTCCTCTCCTCTCCTCTCCTCTCCTCTCCTCTCCTCTCCTCTCCTCTCCTCTCCTCTCCTCTCCTCTCCTCTCCTCTCCTCTCCTCTCCTCTCCTCTCCTCTCTCTGTTCACCATGCAGGAGGTTAGGAGGAGCAGATGTCTGTCTGCCCTGTGAGCTGCCAAGTGGGTCTGAAGCAGGGGAGCCACAGACACAAGGGCCCAAATGGTGTTACAAAGGATGTGCAGGAAGCCCGTCTCCGCCTGGGTGAGCCACACTCACTGAGGGCCTCCCCTCTCCCAGCAAGCCAGCAGGGGCACAGAGGTTGTGTGTTCCAAATGGCACCCTATTCCCTATATAGTGCACTACTTTTGACCAGAGCCCATAGGGTGCAAAAGTAGTGCACTATATAGGGACAGGGACACAGAGAGCCAGGGACAGGGACACAGAGAGCCAGGGACATATATGGACAGGGACAGGGACCTAGAGAGCCAGGGACACAGAGAGTCAGGGACACAGAGAGCCAGGGACACAGAGAGCCAGGGACACAGAGAGACAGGGACAGGGACAGAGTAGGGGCAGCAAACCCATGTGTTACACAGGATGTTTGCAGACAAGCACTCAAGTATGACACTCACTCAAGTATGTACACACACACACACACACACACACACACACACACACACACACACACACACACACACACACACACACACACACACACACACACACACACACACACACAAACAAACAAACAAACAAACAAACAAACAAACAAACAAACAAACAAACACCAATGGGTGACCAAGATGACCATATTTTGATTTAGAGTAAATATACTGTATTGTTCTGTGTAAGGATTGCACCTTTATAATCACAGTGTCATGCAACAATGCAACAAACAGTGTAATTTAGCTTATTTCAGTGGCTTGCACATCACATCACATCCAACTCTGTATCAGTAAATTAGTATCAGTGGGTGGTGCTCCGCTCAGAAGAGTTTTAAAAGCTCCTAAATATCTTATCACAGTGAGTTGGCTAGATCTACCTACGCATAGCCACTACAGACATCAGACAACTTGAAGACTTTGTTCAGAAATAACATTGAAACTGTAGCTAGCATTCTCAAAAACCAAGATAAGCTGTCATAATGATTCTATAAAAAAGTCAACAAACCCTGAACAAGAGACTGTGTGCCGAAACTCTGGTGTTTATCCATTACATTATTGGGAGCTTTTATAGAGCGTGCAACTCTCTTTATTTATTTTTACACCTTTTGCCGTAATCTACATTATCTGGGATGTCACTTCAGTCAGACTGGGAGTGATGTTGCAGACAGGTTTTCTGGGCCAGGTCAGGAGGTCATCAACAGTGGGAAAATAGTGTTCCCTCATAGTGTTCCAGGCACAGGTGTGCAGCATGGCCTGTACTGAAGAGAAGCACTGGACCATAAACAATGATATAAATGTCTG